GTATGTATGTTGTATGTATGTTGTATGTATGTTGTATGTATGTTGTATGTATGTTGTATGTATGTTGTATGTATGTTATATGGATGTTATATGTATGTTGTATGTATGTTATATGGATGTTATATGTATGTTGTATGTATGTTATATGGATGGATTCTAGATTTCCACTCAGGGTGGCAGCACGTTGGAGTAGCTCTGTCACTTTAATTGAGATTTTTCTTTTATTTTCGAGCATTAATTCCTGCCTTTCTGGGGAAAAGTTGCCTTTTTGGATGTCTGTTTGTTTTTGTTTTGGGTGCTGTGTAATTGGGTTGATTGTTGACAATACTTTTTAATACTTTGCTCTTTGTTATTATGCATAACCACAGCAACAGGGTGGTTTACAACAGGGAGCAGCTGAATAATATGATTAATATAGCAAAATTTGAAATATTGTTGACTATCTTCATCATTCCTCTGAAAGTCATGTTCCATCATTGTCTCAGTCAGCTGTAGTTGTCCTTCAGGATTCTGAGATATCAGAATCAGAATCAGTTTTATTGCCATTGTCAATGAACAGGATTCACAGACTAGGAATTTGCTTCAGTGTAAAGGTGCAATAATTATCAAATATAACAAATGAAGTAAAAACAAAGGATAAAGGAAAAATATGACAAAATACATACAGTGGCAAAAAGTATGGAATCAGCAGTCTCTGATGAGCACTCATTCAGACATTTCATTCTGTAAAACAAACTCAGATCAAAAACATGAAACAATAATAAGGTCATTACAAAGTGAAACTTGTTGGCTTTCAGGAACACTCAAAGAAATGAAGAGAAAACATTGTGGAAGTCACTGAATGTTACTTTTATTGACCAAGCGCTGGGAAAAAATATGGAATCACTCAATTCTGAGGAAAAAAGTATGGAATCACTCAATTCTGAGGAAAAAAGTATGGAATCACTCAATTCTGAGGAAAAAAGTATGGAATCATGAACAACAGATAAACAAAAAATCATTCAAAATACATCACTAGTATTTAGTTGCACCACCTTTGTCTTTTCTAACAGCTGCAGTCTCTGAGGCATGGACTTGATGAGTGACAAACAGTATTCTTCATCAGTTTGGTGCCAACTCTCTTTGATAGCAGTTACCAGATCAGCTTTTCAGGTCGGAGCTTCTTCTGGACCAGTTTTTTCAGTTTCCACCACAGGTTTTCAACTGGGTTGAGATCTGGACTATTTGCAGGCCATGACATCGACTGAATGTGTCTTTCTCCAAGGAATGCCTTCACTGGTTTTACCGTATGGCACGATGCATTGTCATCTTGTAAAATGATGTCATCACCTCCAAACATCTGTTCAACTGAAGGGATGAGAAAACTGTCCAACATGTCAATGTAAACTTGTGCATTGATAGAAGAATGAAGCACAGTCATCTCCCCAGTGCCTTTGCCTGACATGCAGCCCCATATCATCAAGGACTGTGGAAATGTGGTGTTTTCTTCAGTCCTCTTCATAAATCTCACTGGAACGGCACCAAACTAAAGTTCAGCATCATCACCTTGTCCAATGCAGATTCTTGACTCATCACTGAAGATAACTTTCATCCAGTCATCCACAGTCCATGATTGCCTCTCCTTAGCCCATTGCAGTCTTGTTCTTTTTGTTTAGGTGTCAATGATGGTTTTCTTTTAGCTTTCCTGTATTGAAATCCCATTTCCTTTAGGCGATTTCTTACAGTTCGGTCACATACATTGGCTCCAGCTTCCTCCCATTTATGCTTCATCTGTTTAGTTGTACTTTTTCAGTTTTCAAGACAAATGGCCTTAAGTTGTTTGTCTTGATGCTTTGAGGTCTTTCTTGGTCTACCAGTACGCTTGGCTTTAACAACCATTCCATGCTGTTTGTATTTGGTCCATATCTTGGATACAGCTGACTGAGAACAGCCCACATCTTTAACAACCATGTGTGAAGAGTTACCTTCTTCAAGAAGTTTCACAATCCTCTCTTTTGTTTCAAGAGACATTTCTCTTATTGGAGCCATGGTTCTGTCCACTCCACTTGGTCCAGCAGCCCTCCAAGGTGTCATGACTGCAGGTGTTTTTAACTGCAGACTAACCAGCAGATCTAATCTGAGCCAGGTGCCCATTTAGGGAAAGGAAACTGACTGGGTGTGTCCTTATTTTCTACCTCCAATTTGAGTGATTCCATATATTTCCCCTGTGCTTGGTCAATGAAAGTAACATTCACTGACTTCCACAATGTTTTCTCTTCATTTCTTTGAGTGTTCCTGAAAGCCAACAAGTTGACCTTTGGAATGACCTTATTATTGTATCATGTTTTTGATCCGAGTTTGTTTTACAGAATGAAATGTCTGAATGAGTGCTCATCCAAGACTGCTGATTCCATACTTTTTGCCAGGGGTTTTAAAACATATGTACACCAGTTCAATATAGTAATCAGAGCAGACAATACATTTGGAGTAGTGCAGTTAGATCCAGCTGTTTACCCTCTTATCTGTTTCCAACAGGAACTTGGTTCAGGAAATAGGTCATATTTGAAGGCAGCAACATAGCTCCAAATCATTTCAAACCCCATCTTACTTAGATGTTTTCTCTCCTGAAACATGTTAAAGTTGTAGATAAAGTTAAAGATAAAGGAGAGAATCAGGGTTTCGTCTGTTCCGTCATTTAATGACCTCTGAAATGCAGGGGCATTCTGACAAACCAAGGTTAAACACATGGCCTTTAAGGGAGTGCTAATGCTTAACGTTTTAGTGAACAACAGGGTTAAAATAAAAATGTTGAAGAACAAAGAGATGTCTAAAAAGGAGAGGTCCAGAAATACAAAAAAAATAAAAAAAAATTAAATAAAACAACAAAAGCCAACAAGTGGGGAAAAAAATCTAAATATTGCATCTTTTGAAAAACTTCAATTCCTTTCTTTTGAGTTCAGTCCTGAATTGTGCTGCCCTCCATCATAGCAGAGTTCAATACCCTGAAACTCAAAGCAAGCAGAAAGAGTGTTTCCAAATACATTTTCTGTCATCATTAGCATTATTCAGCACTAGAATAACTGACTGAGATAAGCCCAGTATCTTGCTCAGACATCCACAGCTGGGAACGAAGTAGTGGTTTGAGCTTTCATGAGGGTGTTGCAGGTCTTTGTGTCCTTTCAGTTAAAACTGTAATCCACCAGTGAGCGGGCATGACTAGCCTCTTGTTACATGTTGTTTTCTGAAGCTCAGTGGGGATTCAGGTCTGGAAAGAAGCTGAGAGGCCCTCAAAGAAACCTCTGTTCCCCAGGAATGCCCTTACACTCCCTAATATAGGCAGGATGGTGGGGTGATTGGGTCCAACCTCACCTTTTAGATGAAAATGTTACTTGTTTTCTGTTTTGTTTTCTAATTTAATTTAATTCAATTAAAAAATTTTTTTTTGTAGGTATAGTCAGTCTATGACGGGGAGACTTTCTGAGGCTCATCACATTCAGTTCTGTGTACGGATCCTGAACCATCATGTATATTCTGTCTCTCTGATGTTTTATGTCTCTGTGTTTGAACAGGGAAGCAAAGGCAATCTAGGACTTCCAGGACTTCCTGGTCCTGCTGGTTACACAGGCCAGAAGGGAGACAGGGTAAGATCATTGCAAGCAAAGTCATGAGTATCCAACAACCCAAGAGAACATGTGCTACAACTTAAACCACAAAATGCCCTCTTGGCCTTCTTACACATTTGTTGTATGATTTCTAGAGTGATTTAGATTTCAGTGTTTTTGTTTGTTGTTTGAAGGGAAACAAATCAATATGATAAAAATTTCATTCAGTTAAAGGCATAGCATTCTTTGAAGGAAAGCACATCACCCATTCCTTTCTTTTCAGGTTGGCTAAAATCAGTTAACAGCTATTTTAAATGGGATTGACTCCAATCAGCTGTACATTTAATGATTGCAGTATCACCCACCTTCTGCCTTTTGGTGGTGGGCAATAACAAAACCAAGTAGTACGGGGCTCCATGTAGGACTTAAACTGTTTTTTTTCTCTTTCACACACACTACTATAGACTCTAACACACACACTCACAAGACTACAATTGCACATAAATACTATTAAAATATGACACACACATACTTATTAAGAGCATGCACACACAGCACTAAAGCATCTAACACAGCTTGAATGAGAGCTAGTATGTGTGTGTGTTTGAGCCTTGTTGTTGTGTATAAGTGAGAGTGCATTGTGTCACAGAAGAGGTGGGGCTTAATTTGGAGATCGGATTGCAAGCATCGATCCCAAAGCAACTGCATTTCCATCGCAAATGTGCGCAAAACTTTGTCGATATTCTGTTAATGTTGAAAAAAAACAGTTTCACAACTGCAGTGTTTCCATTAAGTAAGAAATGTTATTAAAGTCACACGTGAATACGTTTGTTCTCATGATAAGTCATTACAAACATGGCAGCGATGGATGTAAACACATAGCATGTTGCTACCACGACACTAGCGCTCATCATCAGAGGAGACGTCGGCATCTTTTATCGAGGCTTTCCAGAGACAAGTCCCTACTTGGGAGCGGCTACGTATGCTGTGTTTTTGGGAAATTGTAGTCGGTGAATTTACTATTTTATACTACTTCTGTGATATTACTACTACTTCTACTTCCTGTTATCTTCTTCATCATCATCTTTTTAACCAGTAGAAACAGCCAGTTAATGATCACTTAATCCCCTTGATGCGAAAAAATTGTTTCCATTGCAGTTTTGCGAAAAACACCAATTTCGATACGGCCGAAATACCACCTCATCCTAGTGCAAAAACATTTTGTCGAAAAACATAATTTTTTTCAAAATTGATGTGTTTCCATTGAGCAAATTTATTTTCGGAATTCTAATTTGCGCATTTTCATGGTCAATGGAAACGCAGCTAGTGAGGACAAGAATCTAGCTGCAGCCAATGTAAAAGCAAACCCCTTGATGTTTTTGCTGTTTTTATCCAATTTAATTTACCAAATATTATTAAACTAACTAACCCAAACACGTAGAAGACCCTAACTCCAAAAACATGACACAGATCCCCATAAACACCCCTGATCTGAATCAGAGCTTAGATCCATGTAAGCTCATCAAGGTTGGTTCCTTGGTTGGTCTGGGAAGTGTGCTGAAAATTTTGCCCCAATCAGAGTAGTAGATTTGGAGAAAAGCTAAGCGCAAAACCCTGGTCCCTCGCAACTTCCTGTATTTACAGAGGTAGAGAGTGAGCAATACTTCCTACTCTGATCTGGGTGAAATTCTGTGGTGTTATGGTGATCTGTTTCATATTTTTGAAGTTAGGGTTTTCTATGTGTTTGGGTTAGTTAGTTTTGATAAGGTTTGGTATAATAAATTGGTTAAAACCAGCAAAAACATGAAAGGGTGTGTTTTGCAGTGGTTACAGCTCAACTCTTGTCCTCAGTTTAGGATCCACACATGTGCAATTCAATCTCCAAATTAAGCCCTGCCTCTTCCGTAACATGATGCACTCTCACACACACTACAACAAGGCTCACACGCACATACACACATACTATGTCTCACTATCTGTGTAGGGACTTTTCATTGACTTCCATTCATTTTTTTGGAAATTTTATATCCTAACCCTGACCATTTATCCTTAAATTAACCTCACATGTACCTACCTGACCTTAAAACTAACCTAAATTTAATTCATACCTTGGTCCTAACCCAACACCCCCACCCAAAATCAGCCTCCGAAGTCGTGGGGACCAGGCTTTGGTCCCCACAAGGCTGCATTTTCCTGAAAAATCATCCCCACCAAGTAGCAAAAACAAGGGCACACACACAGGTACACCCACTCATTCAAGCTGTGTTAGGTGCTTTAGTGCTGTGTGTGTGCATGCTCTTAATAGTATGTCCATCCATCCATCCATTTTCTTCCTCCTATCCGGGGTCAGGTCTCGGGGGCAGCAGCTTCAGAAGGGAGGCCCAGACCTCCCTCTCCCCAGCCACTTCTTCCAGCTCCTC